GTGCCGTCTCTCGTGGATCGTTACTTCACCCGCTGGTACAAAGCGGGTAAGTGTGGAAGGGATGTGGCTCTGCTCAGCCGCACTGGTCTGAAGCCTTTTAGACGGTGACTGTGAACACCGCGCGCCCTCCCCCGCTTCCTCCCCACGTCAGAAGGAACTGGACTCCGCGCTCCCCTCTAAGCCCGGGGAATGAATGGCATGTGTAGACTCGAGGGCTGCAAGGAGCGAGGCGCTTGCTGGGTCTGGCCTGGCAGTGCGAGGTTGAGTGCGGGCTGCTTGCGGGGAGCTGAGCGGTTACACTGAGGTCCCCGCGGTTGGCGGCGGCTTACACCGCAAAGGTCTTGGAGTGCCCGGAGGGGCTTGGGGTCTCCGTCCCATGGGGAGTAGTGACCAACGGAATTACTTAATTGATGGAAACCGAGGTAGAGACAGAAAGAATGGCGAGAAGAGGATGGGTTAGAAGAGATAAAGCAGCATCTACGGTTTTACTTGGGAAGTCGCTGGTTATTGTCCATTGCCACTTAGAAGTGGGTATTCCGGTTCTGTGTACGCAATAAATGCTAGTGGCAGAAGCACCTTTGAGGACTCTTATAACCATTATGTTCTCCCTTTCTTTCAGGGATAACGAGTGGTGTTTTTGTTTTTTTAAACAGTATTGCAGTATTTTATGTTGGCCAAATTTCAGGTGACCAGACTGAAGCGTTTTTGGAATGTGAGACCTTGAGCTAACATTAAGAAGGTCTTGGAAACCACCAACAAAAAAATTGCTACTATATCGTAAATAATGCTATGCTAATCATATTTTTATAATAGAAATAAGGGGTATGCTCATTTTAAAGGGTAGAGCAGGTAATTAATCACCTTAACATTAAATAAGTGATTCTGTCTGGTCCAAATACTTAGAGAAAACTTTGGGTATATCTTTTTGAGTAATGAAGGGACAGGTAGTGGTGATCAGCCTGAGTCTGATCTTCATAATTATTTCTACAAACCCAAGAAAATCCCACATGGTGTAGCAAATATTGAGTTAATGACCAATAGACTCCTTTCTTCATCTTCTAGATGTCAAAGGAAAACCCTGCGAGGACCACTGTATACTACAGCACTCCAACAGGTAAGCAAATGGCAAATTTTAAATGATCAAAAACTTTTTTTCTGGTATTTTAGCCTAATGTGGTTCTGGATTGAACTCCCTAAATGAACATTCATTAAATTACTTCCCAGTGTATTGAAATGTCATGATTGACTGTTGGGGTTTGGTTGGCAAGAATGCTCTCCCAGTGCCTCCTCACTCTAAACCAATAAACTTGATTACCCAGATGTCCAAAAGGAGGACCACACCTCCAATCAGCTACTCCCTGAAGCAGCCAGCCACTGAATTGCCAGAGCCCACGGAGGGGCTGCAGTAAGACACAAGTAGTGTCCTATACACACGGGCATGTCTTCCTCCTCTCTCTTCTACCCCACTGCCACTAAAGACCTCGATACTCTTCCCTTTCCTGGGAAGAAAATTCAGTCCTATTTTCTCTTACTATTACATTTCCCCTTCTATAGTCATGCTTCAGTGATAGCAAAAAGAAAAAGGGGGAGACGACAGCTTGAATCAACAAATGTCTGTTCAGATATTTTCTTCCAATAGGAATACTTTGTTATAGAGGAAGAATGATACCAAATGGTAATAATACAGGATCATTTTTTTTTTCTCCTTGTAGAATATGTGTCATCACGTTGGCAGAATCTCACCCAGTTCTTCAAAGTGGAAAAATAATTAAAAGCATTTCTTATCAGATCAGTACCAACTGTAGCAGGCTTCAGAACAAGGTCTCCGGGAAATTTAAACGGGTATGTTCCTTTAATTCTGTGATGATCTACTTAAATCCTCTATATTCGTGGTCACGATGGGTCCATTAGAATCCAGTTATGCTTAACATACTTCTCTGGCAGATTGGGATACTTATTTTAAGTATACTTTAACACTCAACAAATTCTTAAACCAAAGAAAAATAAAGTATTTCAGGAAATATAATAGCTATCATATTAGGTTCTATACCACAAATTCTATTATCCCCAGGATAAAGGAGAAGGCAGGTCTTTGAAAGGACTATTAATAATAACAATATATTTTATCCTTTCTGGCATTTTTGCATAGAAAAATATGTCATGACTTTTCCAACGACCCAATATTTCAGTTTTATTAAAATAGTATCTTGAGGGCCAACAGGTAGCGTGGTGGTTAAGGGCACTGGACTTCCATATAGTTGACCATGGTTCGGGGCCCAGACCTGGTGGGACTTTCCCTCTATCACGTTCCCTCCCTCTCTCTCTCTTTCTGGTCAAATTAAAATAAAGAAAATTAAAGAAAATAATTTTTAAAAAACAGTATTGAGATAAAATTTGGGTGACCAACTCTTTACATTGTATTTTTACATGTAAATTTAAAAGAAAAAATTATCATGATTCAGTAGGAAAAAATAGCCATTTGAGAGAATGTGTGGTAATTGCTCCTTACCATTTTTCCCTAAAGCATTGCCAATCTAATGCACATCTACCCACACCTACCTCCACACAGTGCTCAGTTATACAAAATGTTATCACTACCCTTTGCTCTAGAAAGACGGACATTTTATTAAAAGAGGCTATCACACAACGACCACTTATAAGCATATCTAAGTGTCCTGATAAGCCCACTGGGCAAGTTTCTATGGATTATTTAGATCCTCCATTTACTGAGTTGATAGTAAGAATTTCTGCTAATGGTTCTCACTGTTCTAAGAGACCTTTTTCATACTCCTCTTTGTAGGCCTGAAATCCCATAAAAACATGCCTTGTAATTATTGATTCTTCCTTATTGAGGAAGTAAATGGATATAGAAAAAAATACTCCTTTCTTAAAAAAATAGTTTATGAATTATAGTAAATATAAGTTAATGTGGGACCAGCAGATGGCGTAATGGCTACGTCACTGGACTCCCATGTAGTCAACCGCGGTTCGTGTCCCGGACCTGGTGGCTTAAAACTCATGCCGGGTGCATGTGCGTGCATGCCCAAGATCCCGAGAAGAGAATGGAGGAGAAGGGATTGCAGCGTGACCATCCCCCCTGGAGGGTGATTTCTCGCTTTCTGTCTCTCTGTCTCTGTCCGGCGAGCACACGAGCCCTATAGCAAAAACCTCTCCAAAAAAAAGAAAAAGAAAAAAAGATGAGATGTACCCACTTCTGCTCACGGGAAATTCCTTTCAAGTTTCTGTCAGAACCTCCCCAGATAGTATCCATCTGCTGGAGTACATGAAACTGTAACCATGCTGGAACATTCAAATAGGTATAGTCAAAATGTAGTTTTGACTAATGGGTTATAGGATAATGGGTAAATTACTTTTATTTTGCCACTTAAAACTATTTTCCAGGTTTTTCTCAAAGTACATTCTTTTTTTTAAATTTTGCCAGAGGATACATGTGCTCATTGGAGAGGTACAGAGGTGGGGGTGGGTGAGAAAGCATCTCCCCATGGGAACAGTCACACCCCAATCCCTTCTCCATTTCTCCTTTCTTTTGAGATTTGGGCACTCATGCACGCATACCAGACACATTTTTCAGGCTACCAGGTCTAGGACTCAAACTGCACAGTCAGCCACATGGCATCCAGGCGCCTTAACTACCATGCCACAGGCTGGTACTACATTTTTTTTTAATAAAAAGATCTCTTTTTTAAAAAGTCTTACTGGCTGACCCTGAAAAAGAAGGTCCAGGACCAGCATTTGGCATAATGGCTATGTCACTGGACTCCCATGTAGTTGACGGCAGTTCGAGTCCTGGACCCGGTGGCTTAAACTCAAGCCAGGCACATGTGCATGTGTGCCCAAGGTCCTGAGAAGAGAATGGAGGAGAGGGGATTGGGGCATGGCCATCCCCCTGGGGGGGGGTGATTTCTTGCTTTCTGTCCATCTTTCTGGCGAGCATACGCACCATATAATAAAAACCTCTTCCAAAAAAAATTAAAAAGTTCCTTTATCTGTTAAATTCTAATAGAAAATTAAGGTAGAAATCTTGGTGAAAGTAACTTTTTACAACATTTCTGTCATACTCTGGAGTTTTTATTTATTTTTAAAAATTTTTTAGGGTGTATGTACTCACTGGAAAGAGACAGACAGACAAAGATAGAGACAGTGAGTGGGAAAGTAAGGAATCACCCGCCGGGGAATGGCCACATCGCAATCCCTTCTCCTCCATTCTCCTCCTGGAATCTTAGGCATATATACATCTACGCCCAGCCACTAGGTCCAGGGCTCAAACCACAATCGGCCACATTGGCGTCCAGCAACCTAACTGCTGTACCATCTGCTGTGCCCAGAATGTTGTTAATCACTTGTTGAGGGATTTTCTTACATCTTTGAAACCTTTACATCTGGCTATATGAAGCTTTCTTATTTACAGCTGATAAAATACACTATTAGTCTGAAACTAAACCGCCTATTGATATTATCACATATATCTTAGCTTTCTTATCTTGAGCCTAGGATGGTACCTGACATATACTTGTATAATTGTTTGTAGAAGTAATAGTTTTCATATACTTAAGTCATTTTATTTAAAATGCCAGTTCCCAGAATATATTCTACTGTAGCACTGAGAGCTGCCTCTCAAAAAAAAGTAAAAACGTACATTAATTAATTACGTCTTCCCTCTCGTTACACAGGGGGCACAGTTTCTAACAGAATTGGCACCTCTGTGTAAGATTTCCTGCTCAGATGGAGAAGAATATACCATATCTAGGTAAGTAGCTTTTTAGCCACAATTTAGGAGAAACAGAATTTTTAATGTTCAAGATCATCAGACAAGCTCAGATACTTACTGCTACTTGGCAACTGACATGTTCTGTTAGATTTCAAAATGAATTTCAAAGCATTGGGATACAAACACTATAAAACAGTCTAAAACAAAATTAAACTATAACAAGAAGAAAATAATAATCCTGTATCATAAAAACAAAACAAAAATTATAAGAAACATTTTTCTTAAAAACAATTACTTTTCTGTAATAGCTGTGTTAGAGGACGGTTGATGGAAGTGAATGAAAATATTCTCCATAAGCCATCTATCCTTCAAGAAAAGGTAAAAGAGGAAAAATATGATCCTATCCACATACCTTTCATCAGATTTTTTCATCACTTGGTACTACTACATATCCTGTTTCCTTTCCAGCCCTCCACCGAAGGCTACATTGCAGTTGTGTTACCCAAATTTGAAGAAAGTAAAAGTATAACAGAAGGGTTACTGACACAAAAACAATATGAAGAAGTTGTGGCGAAACGTGTTAATGCCACCACGGCCACGTCATGAGTTGAGATGAAGTGAAAAGCAACATAGGAGTCTTCTTATCCTTGCCTGGCCCACACCATCAGTGTGAGGAGAAGACCCAGTTTATGTGATGTATGCTTCCCACCCAGCCATCCTTGAGGGACGCCTAGGCCTGCACTTCATCTAGTTTCCCCTCTTTGTCTTGTGTAACAAGACTGGGTTACCCTTTGTCTTCAACCTCCTGGATCTGCCCAGACCATGTACTCCCTGGCTCTGTTCGTGTCTTGCATCTCTTTAATAACTAAACAAGCAAGGGATGTTTTCCGGTTAAAAGCAAAGCCTGTGAGGAAAACTTACATAACACCAAATTTTAAGTAGCCAAGTAAAGAGAATTGTCCAAATTTATCAAATAACCTAGGAGTAAATACTACATCTTGACATACTTCTGTTTGAATATTATGGCATGGTTATTATAGGCCTCAATTGTCTTATCAGTTTGAGGTTAAAACAAAAAAGAAACCCTAATCAATGTTTCTTACTCAGTCTCAGTATGACACTACTAAGAAAGTCCAGGCCTGTCCCTTCTGCCTCAGCTTCTCTCCCTGATGTTGTAGAGGAAAGGCACAGAGTAGAGTATGCCTTCTCACCTCCTCATGCTGATGGGATGGCCTTTCCCTCTGACACAAAGTCGAACTGTGACACTGTGACTTCTTAAAGAGAGACGCATGAAGAGACCAGGCCGTGGGTGCAGCAGCAAAATGCACACTCTGAGGCAATCTCTCACAAGAGGGTTCCTGTTCAAGTACAGAGACCACTCAGTATGCTGGGCAAGCATATGCCCCTGATCTGGGGCTCACTAAATGCTGGGGTCAGATCACAGGGTCAAGACCCTGTTGGGGATACTGTTTTTCTGCCTCTTTCTCGCTCATGGAAGAAATCAACAATAAAATAAAAAGGGCTTTCCTAGCAAATGAAAGTATAATACAGTGTTTAGTCTTACAATTCATACACTGTAGTTCTCTGTCTCACCTACTCCGGTTACAGGGACCAGCAAAGAAGTTACTAAGAATAGGTCTTTGGGGCTGCCTTGCCCAGGGAGGGGGTAGCCCTTCTTTCCTTTTGGGTAACAGTTCTCTCTTTTCTCTTGGAGGAAGGACCGAAACTGTCCACCCATTTCCTCTCGTGGGGCTATTCCACCTATGGAGTACTCATTCTATATACTTTCCTTAATAAACTTGTTTTTACTCTCCCTGAAAAAAAAGAGAAGAAAAAATAAGTCATTCAAAGACACAGATGCCTCTGTATAAAACACAAAGGCTTTTCACATCATTTAAAGTTTGAAAAAATTT